TTTGATCCTTAGGGTTGGGATTAAGAGTTAGACGATCCTTACTGTTGCTGATTCTAGCTTGTTTCTTTGTGTATGCATTCAATGTAACTTGTCTCTTTGTGTATGCATTCAATGTAACTTGTCTCTTTGTATTCCGAGGAAAGGATAGTTCATCCGTGGAATCGAACGAATGATATTGTACTCTAGCACTAGAATACTGCCCGACGTGTCTCTTAGATCTCTGTTTGTCTAGTCTTCGGTGATGGGAACCTGGGTATATATATCATTTCATGTTCATATATCATTACATGTTCATATATCATTACATGTTCATATATCATTACATGTTCATATATCATTACATGTTCATATATCATTACATGTTCATATATCATTACATGTTCATATATCATTACATGTTCATATATCATTACATGTTCATATAGCATTACATGTTCATATATCATTACATGTTCATATATCATTACATGTTCATATATCATTACATGTTCATATATCATTACATGTTCATATATCATTACATGTTCATATATCATTACATGTTCATAGAGTTACCTGATTGGTTGGTTTAGAAAGTTACCTGATTGGTTGGTTTAGAAAGTTACCTGATTGGTTGGTTTAGAAAGTTACCTGATTGGTTGGTTTAGAAAGTTACCTGATTGGTTGGTTTAGAAAGTTACCTGATTGGTTGGTTTAGAAAGTTACCTGATTGGTTGGTTTAGAAAGTTACCTGATTGGTTGGTTTAGAAAGTTACCTGATTGGTCGACTGTGTGTGGACTATTGAAACAGCGACAACATAAAAAGATAAGAAAGATGGCCGCCAGATGCACGAGGAGGGCGATGTAAAAGATGAAGAGGACGAGGTCTGAGCCGAGGAACCAAGTCATCGACCTTCTCATTGCTGGAACATCTGTGGAATTTTTTCCTTCGTTGTACCATTTGAAGTTGCTGGTATCACCTGGGGAAAGTCGTTACCACGGGGTAATGTCAAGGTTGCGAATAGTTTAAGAGGTAAGGTCAAGGTTACATTTGTGTGAGAGTCAAGTACAGGGTTAGGGTCCTTTTAATGGTCAGGGTTAGGGTTAAGGTCAGAGTGAGGGTTAGGGTTAAAGTCAGAGGGAGGTTACGATTAGGGTTAGGAAAAGTACTAGAGTTCACTGTGAGATATTATTACTTTAAATCAAGACTTGTTGCTTCCGTAACTAAGCTAAATTGTTAAAAAAAATAAATAAAACAACAACAAAAAACTAAAAAATAAATTATGGTTAGGATTGTTAGACCTTGGCTAACCTTCCCACTTTAGGCAGAATCTTCATAGACCCCATAACCCTTACCCTCATCACTGGTGGGTCGACCCAAACCCTATCTCTCTCTCTCTCTCTCTCTCTCTCACTCTCTCTCTCTCTCTCTCTCTCTCTCTCTCTCTCTCTCTCTCTCTCTCTCTCTATATATATATATATATATATATATATATATATATATATATATAAAACCCTAACACTATTTTGGTTTTCATCACCCGCTCATGTCCTTAATAACAAGACTTTAATATAAACTTAATTTAAATTTAACTCAAATTCACTGAACATAGTTGAACTTGGATATTCATTAATACTTTTGCTTAACTTTATTGACTGCCTATCTCTTCTCCCATTTTCGTGTGAGGGCCGTTTAAAAACAAGTTAATTAAAAAGTCTAGTGACATTTAAGCGCAATTTCCTTATGTTATCTAAAAATAGCTCTGTCGTAGCGTAAATCAAGAGCAGGGTTAGTAAAACCATTGGTTAGTTATTAAAACGTTTTTTATTAATTTTTTTTTCCAGTATTTTACATGTTTTATTTACATTAGAGTTACATGACTAAAAACCATTGCGCGCCTAGCTACCGAACGTGATGGCGCAGCCATTGAACGTGATGGCGCAGCTATTGAACGTGATGACGCGTGTGGTGTGGTTGGATAAACATGCCTACTAATTCGGTCCAAATTTTAATTAATTCAAAAAAATTCTTGTGACCGAACGAAAGGATATTTTTGAAAACTTTCTTCGGCAATATTGTTCTAAATTATGGCAGGAATCGATTGGTACATGTTTCAAGTCGCTAACTGGTCTGGTTGCCGAGATATGGGCCAAAAACTGCTTTTCCCGAGGTTTTTTGGCTTTTCCGGGAAATCCATGAAAGAAACCCGGAATTTTTATGGCCTATGTTCATCCTCGTAACTTGCTTAACATAATTGCTTTTGGAACTAGTCCTCGATATTACTTCGTTCAGGAGGAGATACGACTTAAAGCTGCGGACACACATTCATACATCCATACATTCATCCATCCATACATTCCCAGAAATGACGAGTTAATAAACGCAATTCTCCAGAATGGAAATTGCGCAAAAAAATTCTGTAAAGGTGCTTTGTTTCAACCCGGAAATTAGTTTGACAAAGTCATTAAATAGATGCACATTTTTCAGGTGTTATTTGTCGTGAAACCCGCGGATTCGGTTACTCGTATTACAAGTTTTAGCTCGTAACTCAAAGCGAAAAATGGCGCGCTCGATTACTCGCATGTCGAGGTATCACAGTACATATATTTTATAAATATATAAGTACTCCATAGAACATTGGAAGTAAAAATAAAACATTAATTAGAATTTTATCCGATCAAGGTAAATATAAATGAGCCTATAACCCTCTCCAACACATAAGCAAAAAACAAACAAACAAAAGATAGGGGAAGAGGGTAATTAGTACTCCCTAAGAGAAAACAAATGTAATTTGTTTTAAACTTTATTGCAAACCACATTGAACATCATCACGAACTTCATGATTATCAAAGTTTTCAAGAACACAGTACACAGAACAACAAATTGACAAAAGGGCAGAGGCGTAGCGACCCTTCCCGGCGCCCGGGGACAAACTTTCATTTTAGCCCCCCCCCCCCCCCCCCCCCCGAGACAAAGTTTCAATTTGGCGCCCCGCTGTATTTTTTATATTTACAGTGCAAAACTGCACTTAAAATGAGCTTTTAATTTTTTTTTCAAACCCATTTTGGCGCCCCTCAAACCCATTTTGGCGCCCCCAGGGTCGGCGCCCGTGGACATATGTACCACCCCCGCTCCCTCGCTACGCCTCTGCAAAATGGTTTTAAATATTCGAGCAGGGGTCCAAATGATGTGTGACACAAGTACCGGAGGGGTCCAAATGATAGCACTAGTGTGGGACACAAGTACCGGAGAGATGTTCATTCCTACAACTACTGTGCCTATTCCTACAACTACTGTGCCTATTCCTTCAACTACTGTGCCTATTCCTACAAGTACTGTGCCTATTCCTACAACTACTGTGCCTATTCCTACAACTACTGTGCCTATTCCTACAACTACTGTGCCTATTCCTACAACTACTGTGCCTATTCTTACAACTACTGTGCCTATTCCTACAACTACTGTGCCTATTCCTACAACTACTGTGCCTATTCCTACAACTACTGTGCCTATTCCTACAACTACTGTGCCTATTCCTACAACTACTGTGCCTATTCCTACAACTACTGTGCCTATTCCTACAACTACTGTGCCTATTCTTACACCTACGGCTATACGTAAATGTGTAAATGTATAAATTTGGCAGAAAAAGCATTGGTTCTCTTACCTCCACTAAGTGGTGTCGCTAGGTCGGGTGTCACCCTATGCGGCATTTGGTTGTGTCAACCCAACCCCCTCCCCCCCAAGTATATATCTATATAAATTACTAAATTTGAACTTAAAATTATAAATGGGACAGGCAAAAAAGCATTTTACTTCTGAAAATTTGGCAATTTTTTGCCTTGGTATCACCCCCCTAAATGGTGTCACCCGGTGCGGCCCGCACCCCCGTCCCACCCTCATTACGCCTCTGCCTACAATACAATAGTTTCCTTATCCTGATTTTCTTACCTTCAATACAATAGTTTCCTTATCCTGATTTTCTTACCTTCAATACAATAGTTTCCTTATCCTGATTTTCTTACCTTCAATACTATATTTTCTCTATCCTGATTTTCTTACCTTCAATACAATAGTTTCCTTTCCTACCATCCTCACAGTAGTAACACAGTCCATTGTAATGGCAATGTTGGTTGAAGCACCCCATACTACATATATCACTACAATAAAGCCCGTATACAGGCATGCTACAATCTGGAATAAAAGGTAAACAATGAGTGGACATTTAATCAGTGGACATTTAATTAGTGGACATTTAATTAGTGGACAGTTAATCAGTGGACAGTTAATCAGTGGACATTTAATTAGTGGACATTTAATCAGTGGACATTTAATCAGTGGACATTTAATTAGTGGACAGTTAATCAGTGGACATTTAATCAGTGGACATTTAATTAGTGGACAGTTAATCAGTGGACATTTAATTAGTGGACATTTAATTAGTGGACAGTTAATCAGTGGACATTTAATCAGTGGACATTTAATCAGTGGACATTTAATCAGTGGACATTTAATCAGTGGACAGTTAATCAGTGGAAGTTAATCAGTGGACAGTTAATCAGTGGACAGTTAATCAGTGGAAAGTTAATCAGTGGGTATTTAATCAGTGGACAGTTAATCAGTGGGCAGTTAATCAGGTAAAAATTCAGGTAAAAATCAGGTAAAAAGTTCCAGTGGAACAAGAAAATCAGGTAAAAAAGTTATACCACTAAAAGGTTAAATCCAAAGTACCAAAAACATAAATGATTTATACACACATAAATGACTTATACACACATAAAGGACTTATACACACATACATACACACACTAGCACATATATATCTAATCTATAAAGTTCAATTCTGTATGTTTGTTTGTAACTGAGGTAGCGATGCACATAAGTGCACATCGTCTAAATTAATGATTTAAAAAATTAATAGTGAAAATGTTGTAAAATAATTTTTTTTTCAAAATTATAGTGATAATTGTCGGCATGTCCATCATATAAAATTAAAATAAATTTATCACCTTTCACAAAAATTCTAATTGTGTTCAAATTATTTACATATACTCATTACGTCCCTTGATAAATTAGGAAAACACAATTACTTCCCTTTATAAAAAACAACCGTACATCTTTGTAAAAATTTAATTGTGTTGGGGAAAAAAAATAATTACATAATTAGCGTGGATTGATCAAGTGCAATGTGGTAGATATTTTAAATATTGCCTTTTATTTATTTTATACACTGAACGTACTGTTTAGTAATCACTATTTATAATCAAAAGACAGTTGACGAAAAAAGACATCTTTATTTGGGAACGTGAATTGCTGCAGATTATTATGTGTGTCTTCTTTTGCGCACAAAGGGGAATTCGTTTTTGTCTGTCGCACGAAACATGAACGTAGAATTTTTTTACCTCACCATAGTGCGTACCTTTTTTTAAGCAGACGTTTCAACAGTACATTTAGCAGTATAAAGTTTTACTACGTTCTCGATTGTAAAGGTAAGATCTAAGAAACAACTTCTTTCAAGAGCTATTTATAGCTTCAAAGTTTCCATCAGATGACATTGCTTTGCACCGCATTTAAAAAAAAATCAATAACAGTTTAGAAGTCAGCTCCTAAATGTCCTATATGTTTACTTTTATCTATAGTCTTTAACTGAGTCGAATCCGGACATCATTCGGCGCCCCGACAAGGTGTTATTTGGCGCCCCGGGCCTCCCCGTGTTCGCTATGGCGCCTACATTCGTTTAAGTGTGCCCACAAGACTAAAAATAAGTTGGGGTACTATAGTCGTTTACTAAGTTGAATCAGGCGTTATCGCCGGCGCCTCAGCATATTGCGATTTGGCGTTTGCGTTTGTGTTTTCTTTGTGTTTGAGTATGGGTTTGTGGTTGGGTTTGTGTTTGTGATTGCATTTGGATTTGGGTTTCTTTTTCGTTTGCTTTTTTGTTTGCGTTTGTGTTTGTGTTTTCTTTGTGTTTTTGTTTGTGTTTGTTTCGTTTTGTTTTCGTTTGTGTTTGCATTTGTGTTATGTTTGCTGTTTTTTTTTGTAGTGTTTTTTTATTTCGGTTGGTTGTGGTTAGGGTGGGCAATGCCGGGTATATGCTGATTACTAAACACACAAGCCATGGTCATTTACAGATAGGTTTCTCAAAGAAGCCAGTGCAGGGCCTGGCCGAAACGGCGAGTTATTTTATAATTGTAAAACACTTAAAATCCAAATGTCATTTAAATGTTAAACGCAAGTCGTCAGATTGTCATCTAAATGTCAAAAACATTTCATCAGAATGACATCTTTATGTCAAACGCAAGTCGTCACTATGTTATTTAAATATAAATGTCACATATGTCATCAGAATGTTATCTTAATGTCAAAGCAAGTCAGAATGCTATCTAAATGCTAAACACATGTAATGAAAATGTCATAAAAATATCAAACACATGTCATGAGAATGTCATCTCTACGTACCGCCATACACCTCTATCTCACACATTTGTAAGCCCATATTTGACGTGATGATCACGTCTATTCTCATCAAGGCTTTTCTCAGTACTTCCATCAACCTTAGACGGCCGCTGTTGTCTAAGTTAATGTTCGTGTACCTGACTAGACTTGTGTTTGCTTCACCCCAACAGTCGACAGCAACCGTTTCTCTATTTTCATACAACAAATATCCTGAAAGTTAAAGTTTATGATCAACCGTTTGTGTGTTAGGTATTAATTTTAAAGTTTTTTGTTCTAAATAGTAACTAAACTGGTTACGTTAAAAAAATAAAGGTTGTTTCTTTGTATAGACTTTTTTTTTCTAAAAACTATTTAAAAGGGTTAATTTTTTTCTTTATAATCTCGAAATATTTAAAATAAATCGTACTTAGATAAAATATGTCCAAAATATTTGTTTTGGATTAAATTATTAATTTGCTTTTTAAATTCTTTAAAATCACAACATTCATTTTAGACTAAGTTCTACTTTTAACATTCTACAATATTTTGTAAACCTGAACAAATGTAGAACTTATTTATTTCGAGGTTTTTAAGGGAAATAATCACTTAGATGAGCCATTATATTAATGGTCCGCTATCGAAATTCTATTTCTGAAGTTCTCGTGAGGCCATTTTATGGACACGACAGTACAATGTTAAGATGTTGAAGGATTAAATGATTAGTAATATTTAAAGGTATTTGCGATGTCTAAATTTCGTGAATTAAATGTAGGCCACTTTCTGGGTGTAATATTTAGTGTCGTGAATGAAATGGACTTACTAGGTCTTATATCGAGAATAATTTCATGTATGAGCTGCGGTCTCTCAAATCTGAGAGAGATAGATTTTTTCTGTGCAGCGGAGTTGAAACAGGGTTGTGTTTTTTTCCCGTCCACAGCAAACATTGCTGGTCCTTGGGTGAGGGATCGCTTCAAAGCTGTGTTTCTTCCTTAGTTATGGCAGAGTAAAGAAACATTTACATCAAACATTCACATCAAACAATCACATCAAACATTCACATCAAGCATTCACATCAAACATTCACATCAAATATTCGCATCAAACGTTTACATCAAACATTCACATCAAACATTCACATCAAACATTCACATCAAACATTCACATCAAACAATCACATCAAACATTCACATCCAGCATTCACATCAAACATTCACATCAAACATTCACATCAAACATTCACATCAAACATTCACATCCAGCAAACATTCACATCAAACATTCACATCAAACATTCAAATCAAACATTCACAGCCAGCATTCACATCAAACATTCACATCAAACATTCACATCAAACATTCACATCAAACATTCACATCAAACATTCACAGCCAGCATTCACATCAAACATTCACATCAAACATTCACATCAAACATTCACATCAAACATTCACAGCCAGCATTCACATCAAACATTCACATCAAACATTCACATCAAACATTCACATCAAACATTCACATCAAACATTCACATCCAGCAAACATTCACATCAAACATTCACATCAAACATTCACATCAAACATTCACAGCCAGCATTCACATCAAACATTCACATCAAACATTCACATCAAACATTCACATCAAACATTCACATCAAACATTCACATCCAGCATTCACATCAAACATTCACATCAAACATTCACATCAACATTCACATCAAACGTTTACATCAAACATTCACATCAAACATTCACATCAAACATTTGCATCAAACGTTTACATCAAACATTCAAATCAAACATTCACATCAAACATTCACATCAAACATTCACAGCCAGCATTCACATCAAACATTCACATCAAACATTCACATCAAACATTCACATCAAACATTCACATCCAACATTCACATCAAACATTCACATCCAGCATTCACATCAAACATTCACATCAAACATTCACATCCAACATTCACATCAAACATTCACATCCAGCATTCACATCAAACATTCACATCAAACATTCACATCTAACATTCACATCAAACATTCTATGAAATAGCCATATTAAGAATCACAATAGACTTGTCCAGCTGGTTTCAAATAATTCATTTTTTAAATTCAAAATAACATTTTTGTTGACAGAAAGCATATTTGTCAACCATTTATAACATTTGTGTAAAAAGTACAAACTTACTTCCGTTTCATTAAGGCTAGAAATAGTCAAAGGAATAATTACTAGATCTAATAATAGGAATAGTAATTTAGCAAACACTTTTTTTTTTTTTTTGGATTTGTAGAGTCATGGTTTTGTGTTGATTGTGGATGTTACATTATTTAATAAAAATACTACGCTATACACCATAGATCACTATTATGTATTTTATCATGCAAAACATTTGTTCTGACTTTTATATAAATACTACGCTATACACCATAGATCACTATTATGTATTTTATCAGGGAAAACATTTGTTCTGACTTTTATATAAATACTACGCTATACACCATAGATCACTATTATGTATTTTATCAGGGAAAACATTTGTTCTGACTTTTATATAAATACCACGCTATACACCATAGATCACTATTATGTATTTTTATCATGGAAAACATTTGTTCTGACTTTTATATAAATACTACGCTATACACCATAGATCACTATTATGTATTTTATCATGGAAAACATTTGTTCTGACTTTTATATAAATACTACGCTATACACCATAGATCACTATTATGTATTTTATCATGGAAAACATTTGTTCTGACTTTTATATAAATATACGCTATACACCATAGACCACTATTGTGTATTTTTATCATGGAAAACATTTGTTCTGACTTTTATATAAATACTACGCTATACACCCTAGATCACTATTATTTATTTTATCATGGAAAAAATTTGTTCTGACTTTTATATAAATACTACGCTATACACCATAGACCACTATTGTGTATTTTTATCATGGAAAACATTTGTTCTGACTTTTATATAAATACTACGCTATACAACATAGATCACTATTATGTATTTTATCATGGAAAACATTTGTTCTGACTTTTATATAAATACTACGCTATACAACATAGATCACTATTATGTATTTTATCATGGAAAACATTTGTTCTGACTTTTATATAAATACTACGCTATACACCATAGATCACTATTATGTATTTTATCATGGAAAACATTTGTTCTGACTTTTATATAAATACCACGCTATACACCATAGATCACTATTATGTATTTTATCATGGAAAACATTTGTTCTGACTTTTATATAAATACTACGCTATACACCATAGATCACTATTATGTATTTTATCATGGAAAACATTTGTTCTGACTTTTATTGTCTTACTCTCCCTGGTCATTCCGGTTTTTTGAAAATATTTGAATTGATAAAATAATTCTAAACGGCTTTTCAACGGCTTATATTCGATACAAAAATATAAAAATTATTGTAATCGATGGCTCACAGACGACCTACAAATGTAATTATAATTTTATCTCTTGCCATATTCTAAAAAGATTTTTTTCAAAAATTTAGTATGATTACATAGACTTTTCATGCCTATTGGAGAGGGGGGGGGTGGACCGCGCCAGTAGCGTAGCGAGGGGGGGGGGGGCGGGGCGGGACATATGTCCCCGGGCGCCGACCTTAGGGGGGGGCGCCAAATTGAAAGTTTGAGGGGTGGGGGGGGGGGTGCAAATGAAAAGTTCGAGGGGGGGGGGTGCAAATCGAAAGTTTGAAGGGGGGGGGGGGGTGCAAATGAAAAGTTCGAGGAGGTGTGCAAATCGAAAATTTGCTTCCAAGGGGGCGCCAAATTGAAAGTATGTCCCCGGGCGCCGGGAAGGGTCGCTACGCCTCTGGACCGCGCCCGGAGACATGATCGTGGGAGGGAAATAATCAAATAATTAAATAGATATATCAATAGGTAAATAAATAAATATATAAATAAATGAATGAATGAATATATAATGTGAATATATTTATATAGGTGTATATATAATATGTATATATGTGTATATATAATATGTATATATGTGTATATATATATATATATATATATATATATATATATATATATATATATACATAAATATGTATATATGTATATCTATATATATACACACACATATACATACACATATATAAGCATAAATGTTTATATATATATATATACATGACCTTGAGGAAAAGTTGGAAATCAATTTCTTTTTGATATTTTAAGGGATATGCGCGGCAAAAAATCACAAAATTTCTTGTATTTCGTCATGATGGGTTTCTTGCACTTTTGGATACTTTGTCCATTTTTGTATTAAGAAAATAATAACTTTAAAGAGAAAATTTTTTAGGTGTTTAAATTACTATTTTTATGACCCTATTAATTAAAAAATAATCAATTTTTCCAAATCTTACAAGCTCTCTGTAAAAAGTTTTATATCTGTCATCGTATTATATTTGGCATCATTTGAAAGCTTTATTTGATAATCTTAATTTCCATCATCTCGGAAACACCCAAAGCTTACAATCGGCTTTACAAATTACACAGATATAGATCTAATATTTTCGTGACCTATTTTTTGTTACTTTTGGCTGTTTCTCTGTTCGAAGGTTTTTAACACCATAAAGCCTACTACTTTTTTATTTATTAAACAATCGCCAACATATTTTCAGTATATGTTCTTGATGCAAAAATACAACTTTTGTCACGAGGGAATTGTGATCGCTTTCATAGAAAACAACTATTTGGTAATTAATATGCAAATTTTGAAACTTTTGATAACTAAAAATGTTACGATTTTTTAGACTTTGTAAAATTCTTACTAGTAGCTATTTCAAAAAGTTTTCGTGACAAAAGGTTTAATATATACTGAAATATAAGCAGTTTAAATTTGATTGTTATAGGTGCATAAATAAAATCTAGATGAGCCCTAACCCTAACCCAAGGTAAATCTAGATGAGCCCTAACCCTAACCCAAGGTAAATATAGATGAGCCCTGACCCTAACCCAAGGTAAATCTAGATGAGCCCTAACCTTAACCTAAGGTAAATCTAGATGAGCCCTGACCCTAACCTAAGGTAAATCTAGATGAGCCCTAACTCTAACCTAAGGTAAATCTAGATGAGCCCTAACCCTAACCTAAGGTAAATCTAGATGAGCCCTGACCCTAACCCAAGGTAAACCTTGATGAGCCCTAACCCTAACCTAAGGTAAATCTAGATGAGCCCTAACCCTAACCTAAGGTAAATCTAGATGAGCCCTAACCCTAACCTAAGGTAAATCGTGATGAGCCCTAACCCTAACCTAAGGTAAATCTTGATGAGCCCTGACCCTAACCTAAGGTAAATCTAGGTGAGCCCTAACCCAAGGTAAATGTAGATGAGCCCTAACCTAAGGTAAATCTAGATGAGCCCTAACCCAATGTAAATATAGATGAGCCCTATCCCAAGGTAAATGTAGATGAACATACCACCACTGACGTACACTGAACAGATGGGATGATTTGTCTCCCAAAAGAGAAAAACTTTTGCAACGAAATGGATCACGTGACGGCAAAAGAAGTCTCGCGTCTTCCCGTCCACAACAATATAAGTCTGACCTTGACATTGCTCACGTGTTCTGTTGACCTCAAATTGCAAAGAATAATTCCACCACTCACCTAGGGTTAGATAAAAATTGTAAATTATGAATGGTTCAAACTTTTGGTCAAATCAAATGTCTAGGTGTGTGTCTGTGTGTGTTTAAATATATGGCGTGCATGTAAGCACATGTACAAATGTTACAATTTAGGTGTTAACGTAGGCACATGTAGAAATGTTACAATTTAGGTGTTAACGTAGGCACATGTACAAATGTTACAATTTAGGTGTTAACGTAGGCACATGTAGAAATGTTACAATTTAGGTGTTAACGTAGGCACATGTACAAATGTTACAATTTAGGTGTTAACGTAGGCACATGTACAAATGTTACAATTTAGGTGTTAACGTAGGCACATGTACAAATGTTACAATTTAGGTGTTAACGTAGGCACATGTAGAAATGTTACAATTTAGGTGTTAACGTAGGCACATGTAGAAATGTTACAATTTAGGTGTTAACGTAGGCACATGTACAAATGTTACAATTTAGGTGTTAACGTAGGCACATGTAGAAATGTTACAATTTAGGTGTTAACGTAGGCACATGTACAAATGTTACAATTTAGGTGTTAACGTAGGCACATGTAGAAATGTTACAATTTAGGTGTTAACGTAGGCACATGTAGAAATGTTACAATTTAGGTGTTAACGTAGGCACATGTAGAAATGTTACAATTTAGCTGTTAACGTAGGCACATGTAGAAATGTTACAATTTAGGTGTTAACGTAGGCACATGTAGAAATGTTACAATTTAGGTGTTAACGTAGGCACATGTAGAAATGTTACCTCCAACTACAATGCGAAGCCATGTGAATGTTTGTTTGTCTTTAAAATCAAGTTCCAGAGATCGCAAACCGCCGTGGTAACAGCTTTGATCGTTTCCATCTGTCAGCTCTGGCACCGTTGAACGTAAAACGTTAGACCTTAGCGCTAAATCCCCTGTCATAAAATCAATCAAATCTTTCTAGAGGTCTGTTTACAACTGGATAAACCTAATAATATAGTACTAGATTAGACGACTTTAAAGTATTTTTTGCTGCTTTTGTTTATCACGTTGAAGTTTAATGTGACCGTCTCATTTTAAAAAAAGGCTAAAAAAATCGTATAATAAAGAGACATTAGATGCATTGTAAAAACAATTGTATGATAGCGAAAAAATTTGATTAATCACTGTATAGACAATTGATAGCGAACAAACTTGATCAACTTACTGTATAGACAATTGATAGCGAACAAACTTGATCAACTTACTGTATAGACAATTGATAGAGAACAAACTTGATCAACTTACTGTATAGACAATTGATAGCGAACAAACTTGATCAACTCACTGTATAGACAATTGATAGCGAACAAACTTGATCAACTTACTGTATAGACAATTGATAGCGAACAAACTTGATCAACTTACTGTATAGACAATTGATAGCGAACAAACTTGATCAACTTACTGTATAGGCATTTGATAGCGAACGAACTTGATCAACTTACTGTATAGACAATTGATAGCGAACAAACTTGATCAACTTACTGTATAGGCATTTGATAGCGAACGAACTTGATCAACTTACTGTATAGACAATTCATGCCAAACCAGCCGGGTCGACAGAGGCCATCTCTACAGGAAGGACAATCTCGACAGTGGCAGACAAGCATGTCTTTCTCACCAAACCATTGGGGGTCTGGGTCTAGATGAGGATTTGGTGGGATTTAGTAGGGTGGTCTAGATGAGGATTTGGTGGGATTTAGTAGGGTGGTCTAGATGAGGATTTGGTGGGATTTAGTTGGGTGGTCTAGATGAGGATTTGGTGGGATTTAGTTGGGTGGTCTAGATGAGGATTTGGTGGGATTTAGTAGGGTGGTCTAGATGAGGATTTGGTGGGATTTAGTAGGGTGGTCTAGATGAGGATTTGGTGGGATTTAGTAGGGTGGTCTAGATGAGGATTTGGTGGGATTTAGTTGGGTGGTCTAGATGAGGATTTGGTGGGATTTAGCTGGGTGGTCTAGATGAGGATTTGGTGGGATTTAGTTGGGTGGTCTAGATGAGGATTTGGTGGGATTTAGTTGGGTGGTCTAGATGAGGATTTGGTGGGATTTAGTTGGGTGGTCTAGATGAGGATTTGGTGGGATTTAGTAGGGTGGTCTAGATGAGGATTTGGTGGGATTTAGTTGGGTGGTCTAGATGAGGATTTGGTGGGATTTAGCTGGGTGGTCTAGATGAGGATTTGGTGGGATTTAGTTGGGTGGTCTAGATGAGGATTTGGTGGGATTTAGCTGGGTGGTCTAGATGAGGATTTGGTGGGATTTAGCTGGGTGGTCTAGATGAGGATTTGGTGGGATTTAGTTGGGTGGTCTAGATGAGGATTTGGTGGGATTTAGTTGGGTGGTCTAGATGAGGATTTGGTGGGATTTAGTTGGGTGGTCTAGATGAGGATTTGCTGGGATTTAGTTGGGTGGTCTAGATTAGGCTTTGGTGGAATTTAGTTGGGTGGTCTACACTATCTCTTCATATGCCGAGGTCACAGAAACAAGTAAACTATACTTCACTTGCCCCATAGACCGTCAGGTTTGAAAGGGAAACTTTACTTTAATTGTTGGGTGGTCTAGATGAGGATTTGGTGGGATTTAGTTGGGTGGTCTAGATGAGGATTTGGTGGGATTTAGTTGGGTGGTCTAGATGAGGATTTGGTGGGATTTTGTTAGGTGGGATATATAAGGATTTGGTGGGATTTGGTTGGCTGGGATAAATAAGGATTTGGTTGGATGTGTTTAGACCACTTAAAACTGCCTAGATATTTGTGATGACAAATTTTACCCTGAGGTAGTTGTGTGGACTACAATAACTCACCATTTATGTAGGTCTCCATGTCAATTTTTTGGTAGCTGTTGTCTAAAAAGGGTAGGAAAAATGATATATATATATTTATATATATATATATATATATATATATATATATATATATATATATATATATATATATATATATATATATATATATATATATGTATATATGATGGAAGACATTATACAATCACAATAAAACTAAATATCATGTCCATACAACACAACCACAAGTCAACTACAACACCACCACAAGTCACCTACCACACAACCACAAGTCACCGACCACACAACCACAAGTCACCACAAGTTAACGGGCTAAAACAAGCCAATTGTCAATGGTTAGATGACTTACTAGGCATACAGATAGGTTGAGCGAGAGCCAAGCAGGGCTGTGCTATCAAAGCGCCTGTAGTAGAAACTTGAACGCAGTCAACATCTGCAATGGAGCCTGCCAGCTGGATGTTTTCACTGACCCTGCTGTTGTCATGGTCCCATACAAAGACGTTTTCCTCTTCACGGTCGTTTGCACCGATCCACACTAGATGAAGTAACTTTATATACACAGACATGCTACAACATCTATATCCAACATAAACAGACATGCTACAACATCTACATCCAACATACACAGACATGCTACAACATCTACATCCAACATATACAGACATGCTACAACATCTACATCCAACATATACAGACATGCTACAACATCTACATCCAACATATACAGACATGCTACAACATCTACATCCAACATATACAGACATGCTACAACATCTACATCCAACATACACAGACATGCTACAACATCTACATCCAACATATACAGACATGCTACAACATCTACATCCAACATACACAGACATGCTACAAGACAACATCTAAATCCAACATACACAGACATGCTACAACATCTACATTTAACATACACAGACATGCTACAACATCTACATATAACATAAACAGACATGCTACAAGACAACATATACTTCTAACATAAATAGACAAGCTGCGAGACAACATATACATCTGACATACACAGACATGCTACAAGACAACATATACATCCAACATACACAGACATGCTACAACATCTACATCCAACATACACAGACATGCTACAACATCTACATCCAACATAAACAGACATGCTACAACATCTACATCCAACATACACAGACATGCTACAACATCTACATCCAACATACACAGACATGCTACAAGACAACATCTAAATCCAACATACACAGACATGCTACAACATCTACATTTAACATACACAGACATGCTACAACATCTACATCCAACATACACAGACATGCTACAACATCTACATCCAACATACACAGACATGCTACAATATCTACATCTAACATACACAGACATGCTACAACATATACATCCAACATACACAGACATGCTACAACATATACATCTAACATACACAGACATGCTACAAGACAACATATACTTCTAACATAAATAGACATGCTACAAGACAACATATACATCCAACATACACAAGTGCAAGCTACAAGACAATACCTACATCCAACATACACAGACATGCTACAACATCTACATCCAACATACACAGACATGCTACAACATCTACATCCAACATACACAGACATGCTACAACATCTACATCCAACATACACAGACATGCTACAAGACAACATCTACATCCAACATACACAAGCATGCTACAACATCTACATCGAACATAAACAGACATGCTACAAGACAACATATACATCCAACATAAACAGACATGCTACAAAACCTACATCCATCACACACAGACATGCTACAACATCTACATCCAACATAAACAGACATGCTACAACATCTACATCCAACATAAACAGACATGCTACAACCTCTACATCCAACATACACAGACATGCTACAACATATACATCTAACATAAACAGACATGCTACAACATCTACATCCAACATACACAGACATGCTACAACATATACATCTAACATAAACAGACATGCTACAACATCTACATCCAACATAAATAGACAATCTACAAGGCAACACCTACATCCAACATACACAAGCGCATGCTACAAGACAACATCTACATCCAACATACACAGACATGCTACAAAATCTACATCCAACATACACAGACATGCTACAACATCTACATCCAACATACACAGACATGCTACAACATCTACATCCAACATACACAGACATGCTACAACATCTACATACAGCATAAAAAGACATGCTACAACATCTACATCCACCATACACAGACATGCTACAACCTCTACATCCAACATAAACAGACATACTATAAGACAACATCTACATCCAACATACACAACTACATGCCACAAGGCCGAATATTTGAAGCAATAATTGACTTACATTAAGTTATAGACCAGCATATCTGAAGCAATAATTGACTTACATGAAATGATAGACCAACATATCTGAAGCAATAATTGACTTACATGAACTGATAGACCAACATATCTGAAGTATTTGAAGCTGGTTGAGACTTGTGACCTTTCCCATAACACGACCCTGTGCTGAGCAAAATTTCTGCGGATGTATTTCGCGAAAATATATCCTTATCTCTTAACGACTAAGGCCCACAACTTCCTTATCTTTTAAAGACTAAGGCCCACAACTCCCCTTAGCTCTCAGGAATAAGCGACATTGAAAGCGAAAGTTGTAAAGCCTTAGACTAAAAAATAGCTCACGCATATTACCCAGGGTTGGAATGAAAATGTTAATGGCTCATGTATATTGGCCAGGGTTAGAATGAAAAAGTTAATGGCCCATGCATATTACCCAGGGTTGGAATGAAAATGTTAATGACCCATGCATATTGCCCACGGTAACGGTTAGAATGAAAATGTTAATGGCCCATGCATATTGCCCAGGGTTGGAATGAAAATGTTAATGGCCCGTGCATATTGGCCAGGGTTAGAATGAAAATGTTAATTTACCTTCGCGTCGGACCACGTGACTTTATTTTCTGACCAGGATAAGCAAAGGTCACCAACCTGAAGGTCACTAGTGTTTGAGCACTCTGTGGGTTAGAGTTAGAATTTGGGTTAAAGTTAGGGTAAGGATTAGGGTTAGGGTTAGAGTTAGGGTTAGAGTTAGGGTTAGGGCTAGAATTCGGGTTAAAGTTAGGGTAAGGGTTAGAGTGAAACCTACTATTGAACATACAAATGGCTTGGCCTTTTCTGGAACAGTTGTAAGCGGTCAAGTTCAGATTAGCATTGACCGCTACACACTGTCCGTCTGCACGTATTACATTATCCTGAACATTGGCGCTGTTGAATTCCCACAGAAAACTTCCTGATCTTTCAACTCCAGCCGTCCATGCTGTTGGTCAAATATAATGGCCATTAATACAACACAAATATAATGGCCATTAATACAACACAAACATAATGGCCATTAATACAACACAAACATAATGGCCATTAAATAAAACACAAATATAATAGCCATTAATACAACACAAATATAATGGCCATTAATACAACACAAACATAATGGCCATTAATACAACACAAACATAATGGCCATTAATACAACACAAACATAATGGCCATTAATACAACACAAACATAATGGCCATTAATACAACACAAATATAATGGTCATTAATACAACACAAATATAATGGCCATTAATACAACACAAATATAAATGCCATTAACACAACACAAACATAATTGCCATTAATACAACACAAATATGACCATTAATACAACACAAATATAATGGCCATTAATACAACACAAATATAATGACCATTAATAAAACACAAATATAATGACCATTAATAAAACACAAATATAATGACCATTTATACAACACAAGTATGCTGGCCATTAATACAACACAAACTTAATGGCCATAACTACAGACAAAATGAACTTACTGAAGTTGCCATAACTACAGCACAAAATGAACTTACTGAAGTTGCCATAACTACACCACAAAATGAACTTACTGAAGTTGCCATAACTACACCACAAAATGAACTTCATGAAGTTGCCATAACTACAGCACAAAATGAACTTACTGAAGTTGCCATAACTACAGCACAAAATGAACTTACTGAAGTTGCCATAACTACAGCACAAAATGAACTTACTGAAGTTGCCATAACTACAGCACAAAATGAACTTACTAAAGTTGCCATAACTACAGCACAAAATGAACTTACTAAAGTTGCCATAACTACAGCACAAAATGAACTTACTAAAGTTGCCATAACTACACCACAAAAAGAACTTACTGAAGTTGCCATAACTACAGCACAAAAAGAACTTGCACTTACTGAAGTTGCCATAACTACAGCACAAAATGAACTTAATGAAGTTGCCATAACTACACCACAAAATGAACTTCATGAAGTTGCTATAACTACACCACAAAATGAACTTACTGAAGTTGCCATAACTACAGCACAAAATGAACTTACTGAAGTTGCCATAACTACACCACAAAATGAACTTCATGAAGTTGCCATAACTACACCACAAAATGAACTTCATGAAGTTGCCATAACTACACCACAAAATGAACTTACTGAAGTTGCCATAACTACACCACAAAATGAACTTCATGAAGTTGCCATAACTACACCACAAAATGAACTTCATGAAGTTGCCATAACTACAGCACAAAATGAACTTACTGAAGTTGTCACAAATGCGTTTGATGTTGTTGAATGTGACGTTCAATGTATTGTTGCAAGTAAACGTTTGGTTACAATTCGAATGATTTGTGCTATTGCATGTTGTAGGGGTCAGTGTTACATTGCAATTAGTGTTGTTAAGAGTAGCGTTGCAATTAGTGTTGGGAAGCAAGTTGCTGCAATGAACGGATGTGTTGTTGCAAACACGGCTGCCGAGTGTGCTGCTACAGTTGTGCTGTTTGTCTGTGACACGAGTGTGTAGCTCATTCTGTGCTTGCTCGCAGCCCTCTGGGATCAGTTGCATAGCAACCATTCTATCAACGCTGGCCAAAACCATACCGTTACAGGAACAAGTTTTCTGTGGAGCAATGGAAGAAAACACATCAGCAGCATCAACGCCTGTTATTTTCAACACATCAACTTTAATCACATTGAAACTAGGTAACAACTAATGAAATAAACAAATAACGTACGTAACAAAACACGTTGATAAATTTTAATACCACATTTAGCATACATATGACGTCATTTTGTAGATACATTCAAAATTCAATATCACATTTAGCATACAGAAGACGTCATTCAAATACCACATTTTTACTTTGGCCTCTTCCCACGTCTGTTGATGTGGAAAAATTTGATAACAGATTCCTTTTATTTCAGTTCCGTTAGGAGGACACACTAGATGGACACCTAAATAGATCAGGACAGTTAGAATGACGGGACACAAAACATGGGCGCTTAAATAGATCAGCAATACAAAGGACTCTAGCGTTTATTGTGTCTAATATTGATACAGCTACAACTAATTACTCGATCTAGTAGAAATGTCAGACACAGAGTTGTAAGAGTTAATAAACAGCTCACGTACCGTGA